GGGTGGGAGGGAGGGAGGTTCTCCCGTGGGATGGTGCCCGCCATTCCAGCAACATGTGCGGGGTGCCGTGGCTGCCGTGTCCAGCTGTGCCCACTGCCCACCCTGGGAATGCCCCGCTGGCTTGAGTTAGGGTGATGGTTCCCCATGGAGCAGGCAGCCCTGGGGATTGCAGGTGATTTCTTGCAGGTGAGTCCCGGCGTCCTGTGCTGTGTGTTCACTCAGCTCGGTGGGAGTGTGGGGCCATTGCATCGTAACTTGGAGCTGCTGTGGCTGGGGGGTCAGATCCCATGTCTGGATCTTTGTGCTCCTTCCTGTGCCAGGCAACAGCTGGCTGCAGTGCTTGTGTCTCCATCACTGCTATTCACTCCCTGCCAGGCTCTCCTGGGATGCGTCACTGTCCCCTCCTGGTGTTCCTGTGCCTTTGGCAGTTGCTGCTGTTTTCTTGTAGTGTGTTCCTTTCCGGGGCAGCAGGGCCATCCCTCATGCTGGGGTGCCCAGGCTGGCTCCTGCCCTCGCTTGCATGGTGCCACCAGCCCCTGGGAGCCACTCCTCAGGTGGTGGAGGATGAAGCAAGACTGTAGCTGCCCTCACCCGCCGTGCAGGGACACTGCTCTGGGCCAGCAGCACTCAAAGGGAGGAGTGCGCTGCTTACCTCTGCTGTCCTGGGAACCCTGCTAAGCAGTGCACCTGGCCAGTGGCTCCTGCGATGGCTGACAGTTGTTGTGACCCCCTGCAGAGGGGTCCTGCCAGCGCTCCCTGGAGCGAGTGACAGCACTGTCCCCAGGGTGGCCAGCTAGCTGCAGCAGGAAGAGCAGGGGATGCCGATACCATGCAACATCCTAATCCTGCCTGGCCCAGGAGGGGACCAGCTGGCACTGCTGGAAGCAGTGTTGCATGCCATCTGGCTGGCATCTCCTCCAGGGTCAAGCCAACTTCCAGGACCCACTAGTTGAGGTTGCCTGAGGCTCCAGCTAGGCAGGGAGTGAGCCCCAGGGCAGGGGAGCCTCTGGGGTACAGCCTCCTGCCTGGGAGTCCCTGCACCACAGCACCGTGGAGGGGGATGACCCTCAGGCAGGGCACTGCAGGCACAGGGCAGGAGGTAGGCAGGCTGCCGACCAGATCCTGTTGGCTCGAGTCCGGGCACAGCAAGTGGCTGGACCTGTCCGGTGGTGCTGCCATGGAGAGTTGCACAAGGGGCCAGGAATAGAGCAGCAGGAGGTGATTAGAGGCTGCGGGGCCCAGCTGGGCGGCAGCAATAAATAGATGAGGCTTAAGCCCCTGCCTACCTGGACAAGGCTGCCGGGCACACCTGCCTGCACTGGGTGGCCGTGGCCTATCCCTGCTGTGGTCAGGCCCCGTGGCTCTGATTCTGCTGCATCCCCTGGGCCAGCCTCTTCCCTTTGCTGCAAGCAGAGCTGGGGGTATGGTGCTGGCCAGGAGTCCTGCCATGCATGACGAGCCCAGCTGCAAGGACGTGTACCCAAGCCTGGTGGCCACAGCAGCATGGAGTCATGATCCCAGCCGTGTCCTTCAGGCTGGCTGTGACTGCTACTCCACTGCCCTCCTGGGGCAGGTGCTATCTCCGACCTTACTCTGTCCTGCGGTGCTGCAGATCTGTCCTGCCCAGCTCCGTGACTGCTGAATCGGCAGCCCTGGCTGCAGCCGGCTGCCCTCACTCCTCTAGGGAATCAGGCAGGATGTTGCCTGTCAGGGGTGCTCAGTGTCCAGCCCTGGGGTAACTGAGCTCCTGTGCCCCATGGGGACCACTGGGGTGGGTGCCACGTATTGCATCCAGCTCTGGGCTGGGTGCTTGCTTGGAAAGTGGGTGCTGTGCTGGTTCCAGTGGTCTTGGAAGGGGTGGGATAGGACTGGTACAAAAAAAAAATTTCATATAGTGCCTTCTATCACTTACCCAGGAAGTAGCTCAGCCCACAGCTGGCAGTGGTGGCTGTCCCCAGCAGTGGGTGTGTGTGTGGCATCACATTGCCTGGCAGGTCACTGTGTGGGCACAGGCATCCTTCCTGCCCATCTGGGGCTCCACATCCCCCATGTCGCATCCCCACAGGAAGGGTGCCGGCTGGCTGCCCTAGGGAGAGGGGTGGCAGGAAGGAGCTGTTGTCACTCATTGTCCCCAGCTCAGCTGTGAGTGACAACAGCTCCTTCCTGCCCCATGCTTCCTGCCCAGCCGTGGGGCTGACAGGATGGGGCTGTTCCCACAGGGCTCCAGCCTGCTGTAGGGAGGGCAGGGCAGTGTGGGACTGACATGGGGGTGGCCCAGACCCTTGGGCACTGCTGGCCGCTGGGGTTCCCTGGGGACATGGTTGGGGGCTGTTTCATGGAGATCCAGCTCAGTTTGGCCCATTTCTGGGGCTGCTGCAAGCTGGCAGCTGCCCACCCCCTGATGCCCTGGAGGCTGTGTGCCTTCTGTCTTGATCACAGCTGGTCTCTGCCATCCCGAGGTGGGCAGAGAGGACTAAGTCCTGCCCCACTTCCCTCACCAGGGCAGCAGCTCAGTCTCTAATCCCCTTCCTGCTCCAACTCTCCAGCTTATTTCCTGGCTAATTCCCCAAGCTATAAATACTGCTCTGCCTCAAAGGGCCCCGAGGCCTAGTGGCCACCCCACAGGGCAGGGGCTGGTCCCCCTAGCATGGGTGCAAGAGCCCTCATCCCTACTGGGGACAAAGGATGTTACTTGGGAGTGCAGCTGCTATGGGGCCAGTGGGACCTTGGGCAGGGCTAGCTTTAGCCAGGTTCCCCCTGGCTGCACTGGGGGCTGTCCTGTGCTGGGTAGGGGAGTTCCTTGGACACTGCTGTGCACAGTGTGAGGGGTCCCCAGGAACCTGTGGGGATGGAGGTGGGGGACTCAGGGCCCAAGGGGGACCCCTGTCCCTTGGCTGAGCTTCACCCTCCCCTCCCCAGGCCGCAATGAGCCCCTGAAGAAGGAGCGTCCCAAGTGGAAGAGTGACTACCCCATGACGGATGGGCAACTGCGTAGCAAACGCGATGAGTTTTGGGACACAGCACCTGCCTTTGAGGGCCGCAAGGAGATCTGGGATGCCCTGAAGGCAGCTGCCTATGCTGTGGAGGCCAATGACCACAGCCTGGCCCAGGCCATCCTAGATGGAGCCAGCATCACCCTGCCCCACGGTGAGAGACGGCACAGGGGGTGAGGTGGGGTCAGTGCTGAGTGTCCCATATCTGGGCACATGGGGGTCCCAGGTTGGAGAGGAGAGGGGTCCCCAGCTGCATCCACGCAGCTCAGCCAAGGCAAGGTGGACAAGGCAGGCTCTGACCCACTGCCTGGGGTGGCCCTGTCCCCATTTGGGTGGTCCACAGGGATGCCCATCCACAGCATCTCACCCTGCCATCCTCAGGGTCCCTGACGGAGTGCTACGATGAACTGGGCAACCGGTACCAGCTGCCTGTCTACTGCCTGGCACCTCCTGTCAACCTCATCCTGGAGAGGAGTGAGGAGGAGGCAGCAGAGCCGGCCGAGCCTCTGCCCAACGCCCGGCGGGAGTTTGCCCTCAAAGTGCGACTTTCCACCGGCAAGGACCTGCGGCTCAACGCCAGCATGGGTGACACCATCGGGCAGCTGAAGAAGCAGCTGCAGGCGCAGGAGGGCATCGACCTGGCTTGGCAGCGCTGGTTTTTCTCAGGCAAGCTGCTCACAGACCGCACACGGCTGCAGGAGACCAAGATCCAGAAGGATTTTGTCGTGCAAGTAATTGTCAATCAGCCTCTGCCACCCAGGAACTGAGCCCCCACCCCGCACTGGTTGCGGGTAGGGGGCTGGGGGGCAGTGGCACCTCTGGGGATGCACCAAGCCCTGCCAGAGTGGGGGCAGCTCCTCCCCCTCAGGGTGCCCCCCACCTGGGTGATTTCCACCCCCACCCCATCCCCTCCAGGAAGGGCTGCATGGGGGTGTGCCACTACAGTGGCCCCTCTCAGCTGGGACACGGACATACACTGCGTTTGCTGCAGGAGGTTTGAGACCAAATGTCTCCGAGAGGGTCAGCACGGCCAGGGCCCCACTGCCAGGCTGTGCCGGCAGGGAGAGGCTGTGACCTGCTGGGCTCTGACTCCCTTTGGCCAGGAGGCCCCAGGGTGCTGGGCTGGGTGGAGATGTCTCCCCTCTGTACATAGTCTGTATTTATCAATAAAGCCTTTTCATCCTTTCTCTGTCCCTGGAGCAGGTGGGGAGGGGGCTGCAGCTATGGATGGTCCCTGTACCTGTCCAAGTTGGGATGGGCTCAAGGTGGCCGGGGAGAGCCTTGATCCCTTAACTTTGCCCCTCAGTGCTACCCTGACCCTGTCACACCAGGACCAGCTCTTTGCCTGCCTGGACCCTTCTCCAGCACTGCTGCCATCATCCCATTGCTATCCAGGCCACTTACTGGTATGGGACCACTGCCTCCTTTTCCCAGTGTTCCCCTCTGGAGTTTTCAGCCTGTGCCTGTCCCAGGGCCAGGCGGGACAGTCCATGGAGGAGAATGGTCCCAGGCCCAGCATCACCTGTCCTGGTGAAAATGGCACCTCTCTGCAGCCAGAGGCTGTGGCACCCATGGGACTGGGCACTCAAGGGTGTCCCTGGGAACTGCCCGGGATGGTGACAGTGATGTGTCCCATCTGTCCTTCCTCCAGGTCCTGTGCCGAGGGCTGGTGCCCAGCGCATTAACTGTCCCAGCATAGGGCAGCACTGGCCTCATCTTACAAAGGGGGAGAGCAAAGCCCAGGGAGGCTGAACAATGTCCCTGCTACCAGGAATAGCTGCTGGCTCTGCCTGACAGCCCCACGTGAGGCTGGTCCCACTGTCAGGCTGCCCGTGCATGGCTGGGGAGGCCAGGCAGCCACTGGGATCCTGGAAGAGCTGCTTGGGACGCTCCACACCTGAGGTCATCCTTCAAAGTGGTGCAGAGGGGTTGTGGCTCTCGGCATCACATGCTGCCTGCCACTGGTTGGGGTGGGGGGGGGACACAACACCTCCTTTTGGAGTGGGCAGCAACACCCCTTGTCAGGTGCCAGGGAGCCTTGGATGATGTCGGTGGGTGGTGCAGCATCTGGTTGCGTGGAGATGGGGCGATGGGATCCACAGGGAGCATTCTGGCTGCCTGGGGTGGGTGGCACAGGTACAGGACCGATGGGGCAATCCCAGACTGTTTTCTAGCTCCATCGAGCCTCTCTGGACCAGCTGCCATGGGCTGTGTGCACCCAGCTCCCTGCACCCAGCACGGGGTTCTGGGCAGCCCTTGAGGGGGGCAGTGGGTCTCTTTAAGAGGGTGCAGGGATGGGGAGGTGAGCCAGGGCCACCAGAAAGCAGGAGGGTGAGCTCATGGCAAAGCTGCCCCAGTCATGTCGAGCAGCCACAGCTGACGGTGCCCTTGGGCTGCGGGACGGAGGGGCCGGCAGCATAAAGCCCTGCGGTCAGCGGAGCTGCCGGCAGTACCAGGAGCCAGGGCTGGGCAAGGAAGAGAGGCTGCATCCTGCACAGGGCTGTGCACAGTGGGCAGACATGGAGCTGGATGTGCAACGGGCCAAGGATCTCATTGAGCAGAAGCTGGCAGAGGAGGAGGAGGAGGAGAAGGTGGGTCCACAGGGTAGGGGGGTCCTGCCTGGGCTGCAGCAGGGACTCGCCTTGTGCTGCATTCAACTTTAAGGACTCGGATGTGAGAAGGCTGGCACCAACCCTGCCATCTCGGGGGATGCAGCAAGGTGTCCAAGGGCTCAGAGGGTCATTGGGTTCCCAAACCAGGAGCTCTTGCCCATGGGGCAGAGCTGAGCAGCAAGCAGGTGTTCAGCTTGCCAAGTAGGGCAGGTGGGAAAGCATAAGACCAAGGGCTGCTGTGTGTCCTGTAGACCTCAGCAGCAAGCTGTGAGCTGTGCCCAGAGCCACCTCCACTGGTGGGCTGGGGACAGAGGTGGTGGGGTTGCTCCATGCCCAACCAGGACCATGCAGGCCTCTACCCATGCAGCGACTCAAAGATGATGGCACACGGGAGCCACCAGCTGTGGAGCGGATGAGCACACCTGACCTAGAGGAGGAGAAACGCCGTGGCCCCAGGAACTGGGGCCTTGAGGCTGTCAAGGTGAGGGACATCAGGGAGCAGGGGGTGTCGGGGGAAGCTGGGCACAGAGGAGGTAAATAGGGCTTTGCATGTCCCCCCCCAAGGGCCAGGAGCGGGTGCGGAAGAGCTCAGTCGACCTGCGGCGAGAGATCATTGATGTGGGGAGCATCCAGCGCCTCATTGAGCTACGCAAGCAGCGCCGGCAGCGCCGGGAGGAGCGGGCAGCCACCCCTGAGCCCCCCCCACCGCCTGAGCCCCTGGAGATTGTATGTCAGGGGGTCCTAGGGTGCGGGAGGGGCTGCTGGGACAGGGGCTAGAGTCTCCACAGGCCAGACCCCAAGTCACCTTGCCAGCTGAGAACTTCCCCAGGGAAGCAGGGCAGTGGGGGGCCCGTGTTGTCCCCTTTCCCATGTCCCTGTGATGCCTCAGTCCTGAGCCCATCCTGCCACCAGGAGGGTCCTGTGGAGCCGGAGACCTTCCTGCGAGCTGCTGTCCAGGGCAAGATGCGCGTCATCGAAAAGTTTCTGGCAGATGGTGGCTCCCCTGACACATGTGATGAGGTAGTGTCCCCAAAGGCTGCTGGCTGCCCCCTACCTGCCCCTGCCATCATGCCCCACCATGCCTGCTGGCAGAGGCTGGGACCACTGGAACAGGGCTAGGGGTACAGCTGGGATGGGGATGAATCCATCTGCCAACATGGTGCCTTGTCCCCCCAGTTCCACCGCACAGCTCTGCACCGCTCCTCACTGGAAGGACACACAGACATCCTGCAGAAGCTGCTGGACAGCGGGGCCACTGTCAACTTCAGGGATCGGGTGAGGACAGATCCTGCCCCCGACTCCATGCTGGTCTGAGCCTCCTCGCATGGCACAGCTGGAACAACAGCAGGGCTGAGGTTCCCACAGCAGGGCAGTGCTGTCCCTACTGCTGAGGTGGCTGCAGGCAGGGCTCTGCTGGCTCAGCCCAGACACGGGGACTGGCTGGGGTAGGGGATGGACACGGGGTGGGGTGTCCCCTGCCATTGCCATGATATGGCTCTGTGCACTCAGCTGGACTGCACTGCTGTGCACTGGGCCTGCCGGGGTGGGCACCTGGACGCTGTCAAACTGCTGCAGGACCGTGGGGCAGACCTCAACATGAAGGACAAGGTATGCAGGGCAGAGCTGGGGGGCACAGAGCTGTGCCAGGGGCATGAGTGTGCCCTGGGGGACCAGGACTGGCCCTGTGTTAGGCTAGCAGGGATGAGTGCTGATCCACTCTGGTGTCCATCTCCTCCTGCTTCAAGCTGCTCAGCACCCCCCTCCACGTGGCCGCCCGGACTGGGCACCTTGACATTGTGGAGCACCTCATCCACTGCGGAGTGGACATCAACTCCCCGGACAGGGTGAGTGCTGCAGTTGCGCAGTCAGCACCGGCTGGGTAACTGATCCCTCCTCCCTTGGCTGACCCCTCCAGGGGCTCCTAGCACCTGCAGCAGGGCATGACCAGACACACTCACATCTCTGCCTCAGGTGCTGGCAGCCGCAGCCAGAGATGGGACAGTGCTGTGGTTTGACACTAGCTGGCAACTAAGCACCACACAGCCACTTGCTCACTCCCCGCCCCAAGGTGGAATGGGGAGGACAATTGGAAAAAACATGTTAAACTCATGGGTTGATATAAGAACAGTTTAATGACATAAAATATGATAATAATGAGAGTAATAATAATTGTAATGAAAATGCAAAGAGAGAGAAACAAAACACAAAAAAGACAAGTGATGCACAATGCAATTGCTCACTATCTAGTGACCAGAGAGTCCCCAAGCAGAGATCACCCCTCCTGGCCAACTTCCCCCAGTTTATATACTGAGCATGATGTTCTATGGTATGGAATATTCCTTTGGCTCGTTTGGGTCAGCTGTCCTGGCCATGTTCCCTCCCAGCTTCTTGTGCACCTGCTCACTGACAGAACATGGGAAAAATCCTTAGCTTGGGGTAAGCACTACTCAGGAACAATTAAAACATCAGTGTGTTATCCACATTATTCTCACCCTAAATCCAAAACACAGCGGTGTACCAGCTGCTAGGAAGAAAATTAACTCTATCCCAGCTGAAACCATGACAGGGGGGCAACATCCCCCTTGTCCTCATGGGGAGGCATGTATGCGGGAAGCCAGGGAGCAGTGCTGGGGACAGGCAAGGGGTCCCTGTCCCCAGGGCTGGACCCTGATCTCCATTCTGGCTGCGTCTCTCGCAGGAAGGTGACACAGCACTGCATGACGCCACACGGCTCAGCCGTTACAAGATCATCAAAATGCTGATCCTGTATGGGGCCGACATGATGGCCAAGAACCACGTGAGCAGGGGGAGGTCAGCACCAGGGCCATTTGCTGCCCCACCATGTTACACCACCCTGGCCCCAGCCTCTCTCTGCCTGCTCTTGCAGGCTGGCAAGACCCCGACGGACCTGGTGCAGCAGTGGCAGGTGGACACACGCCAGGCGCTGGAGACCAAGGAGCAGCCTCAGGGGGAGATGGAGGTCCCTGCCTGACAGTGCTGGTCAGGGACCAGGGGACTGGTTTGGTTCCAAGGAGCAGGATCCAGCCAATACTTGTCTGTGTCAATAAAAGCCACCAAAGAGCAGTATTTGGCCCCGGGGGACTGTGGGGCTGAGCAGCCTGCACTGGGGGTGACGGAGTAATGAAGATGGGTGATCTGGGGAGCTGGGTTATCTGGCAGCACAGACATGCCCTGCCTCCTAGCACAGGGACTGGGGTGTTAGTGACACCATGGGGCCAGGGCTTGAGTGGTTCAAGGGTGGAACTCTTTGCTGCAGGATGCCCTGGTTGCTTGCAGTGTTTCAAAGTGCCACCTGAGCAAGCTCTGGGAGGAAAACTACATCAAGGGCAGCTAAATCCAGGTCCATGCTGTGCTGGAGACTGGGGTTGTGACAGGAAGCAACAGTCATACCCCTGCCAGGCAGCTGCTCCATGGCTGCTTTTTCTCCTGCTTTCTCCACTGGAGCCATCCCTGGGGGGGACACAGCAGCCCCTTTGCAGGCTAGTGACTTCTGCTGAGTGCAGTGCTCATTACTCCCTACCGAGAAACGCTCCTTCTCACCTGTTTACAGGAAACCCTACACCAAACCCAGAGCAGGGGAACCTTGCTAACAGCCCCGGGGACTCCCTGCAGTGCCTAGTCCCTCCCCAGCCCTACAGCCTGTCTCCGTAGGTGGCAGAGGGGTGGCTGCCAGGACTGGCAAGCGGAAGGGAAAGTGCAGCTGGGCTGGCCGGGGCTCACCCGGAGGGGTGCTGAGCTCCAGTAGCCAGCTCCTGGAGCAGGGAAGAGCATTCTGAGCTCACCCAGTACCGCCCCCCATATCATCTGCCCAGCCAGGTTGCGGGTCCCTCACGTGCCCCGTCAAACATTAACAGCCCCTCGGCAGGGCAGGCAGCAGGGCCAGCAGCAGCACCCATCCACCATGGCATTCAGCACCCGCCTCGCCTGGCCCCTCCGGCCTGCCCTGGCAGCTCTGCGCCAGGCAGCCCCCAGGCAGTGCCGGGGGCTCAGCATCCCCGTGGGACCAGGGCAAACACTCGACCTCAGGGGCATCTTCCCGCCCCTCGCCACCCCCTTCTCACCCACACAGGAGGTGGACTATGCCCAGCTGGAGGGCAACCTGCGCCGCTACGCCAACATCCCCTTCCGAGGTGAGTGCTGCCCACTGTCCCTCTCTGTGCAGGCTCCTGCCAGTTCCCTGCCTGCCGCAGAGGCTGTGCAGCAGTATGCAGGCAGCCTGCTGGCTTCCCAGAGGTGCTCAGCCTCCAGCCAGACTTTGCTCTGGGGCTGGCAGCCCCTTGGGTGACCCACGTGGGACCCTTTTCATGGCATATGCCCACACAGCCCAGGCACACACATAGGTCCTTGTACACCCCTGTCACACTCTGGTGCATACTTGCATGCACACCCCACACATGTGCAGGCTTGCACACATCCTCCACATGCAGCTGCAGGCTTGCACCTGCCCTCTGCACACTCACACAGATTCAGTGCCACAGGATGTATATCTGTTGGTTGCCCAGGATGGATGGATTGTAGAAGAGGGGCTGCAGGAAGAGGCCAGAGGGTTGCAGGGATGTGCCCCAGCATCTCCCCTCTTCTGACCAGTCTGTGAGTCCAGGGCTGTGGGGATGGGGACTGGAGAGGGTACACTGTGGGCTGCAGAGTGTTTTCTGAGCAGCCAGGGACAAGGAAGGCAGAGAGGCTCATGGGGACACCCAACCCTCCTGGCATCCTGGAGCCCTGGCTGCTGCAGCAGAGCCTGGCAGCACTGGGCTGGAGTTGGCCTGCCTGTGCCCGTGGTGCTGGCAGGGTCCCAAGAAAAGGGTTTGTGTGCCCCAGCTGAGGACAGGGCAGCACAGCCTGGCTGCAGGCACCAATAAATACCCAGCTAGCAGTGCTGCGTGGGGGTGTTTTCTGGGAATGGAGACAGGCAGGTGGTGTGTTCAGTCCACAGAGTGCAGGCATGGCAAACACAAGGGTGCTTGGGTAAAGGATGGCACAGCTGGTGCTCCCTATGGTGCAGGTGGGCACTGCCATCTGGGGGGCACATACACACATGTGCCCTTTGTGGAGGAGTCCACGGCTTTGCAGGGCACCTGCAGGAGCCTCCTGGCCCAAGAGGGCTGCTGGATGCAGGCATCAGGCTGCGCTGGGTGCCTAGTACCCACCCGAGAGTGGGGTGGGGAGAGGGCAGGAAGGCCTGTGCCATGGGCACCCTGCTCCTCTGCCCGAGCCCTGCCTTCCCCATGCTTGCATTTCAGGGCTGGTGGTGCTGGGCTCCAATGGGGAGTACCCCTACCTGGCACCCCGTGAACGGCTGGAAGTGGTGAGCTGCGTGCACCAGGCTCTGCCCAGGGACCGCCTGCTGCTGGCTGGCTCGGGCTGTGAATGTGAGTGCCTGTGTGGGCAGCGTGGGGGCCATGTGTTCCCCCCGGGGCGTCCCTCACCCCTCTGCCTCCTCCCCAGCCACCCAGGCCACCATTGAGCTGACGGTCAGCATGGCAGAGGCAGGGGCCGATGTGGCGCTGGTCGTGACACCCTGCTACTACCGGGGGGCCATGACCAACGCTGCTCTGGTCCAGCACTACACGGAGGTGAGCCATGACTGGTGCCTGCTGGCAGCCCCAGCTGGGGCAGCAGCACAGACAGGGAGCCCATCATGCACATCTCTGATCCACCCCAGCTGCTGAGTTCTGCCCGGCTGCCCGCAGGTCGCCGACGCATCCCCCATTCCTGTGGTGCTCTACAGCGTCCCTGCCAACACTGGCCTGGACCTGCCCCTGGAGGCTGTCCTCACCCTGGCTCAGCACCCCAATATCGTCGGGATCAAGGACAGCGGAGGGGATGTGAGTGGGGCAAGGCTTTCCTCGGGCTGACTGCCATCAAACCTAGCCCCAAGCTGGCAATGAGGAGCTGGGACTTGCAGCCCTCCTCTGGGCCCTGGGGATGCTACATGAGCCCCATGGAGGGGAGACAGGGTGATGTATGCCCCGGGGCACAGCATATTTCTCCTCAGATTACCCGCATGGGGCTGATGGTCCACAAGACACGGCAGGAGGATTTCCAGGTGCTGGCGGGATCAGCTGGCTTCCTAATGGCGAGCTATGCCCTGGGTAGGTGCTACTGCCCCTGCTCAGCTGGGAGCATGGGGTGCTGCCCTGGGGGAACTGGTAGGGACTGGCAGCTGGGTGGGAGGAGGCAGGTGAGAGACAGCAATGCCTGGAGGTGCTGGTTGGGCATCGCATGCCAAACTGGCTGTCAACGTGCTCCGGTGTCCCCAGGTGCCTCTGGGGGGGTCTGTGCCCTCGCCAATGTCCTGGGTGCCCCGCTGTGCCAGCTGGACCGCCTGTGCCGTGAGGGGAACTGGCAGGAGGCCCGTGATCTGCAGCACCGGCTCATTGAGCCCAACACGGCGGTGAGTGGGCAGCACTCCCCAGGATGCTGCAGGGTGGGGGTGCTGGGCCATCACAGAACTGGAAGGCAGAAAAGGATGGACGTCCTTGGGGCTGTGGGGGGTAGAGTGGTGGTCAAAGGGGGACAGGATGGCACAGCACCCAGCCAGTGAGCCAAGCAAGCCTGGAGACAGAGGGGTGGGAAATGCTAGCCCTGCCATGCCAGGAACAGTGTGTCCACTAGCAGCAGATCCCTGCCTGACCCCCTCAAGGCAAGGCCACCTGTTTATAGGCAGGGATGGGGGGAAGAGCTGCTCCTCCGCCCCCCACCCCACCGCAGGTACTTCACTGCAGGGCTGCAGCCACCTCGCAGCCTGCCCAGCCCTGCATGGGGCTGGTGCAGGAGCCCATAGAGCATGTTGCTCTGTCCCACACGAACCAGCAAGTGCCCGCACCCTCCCTCCTGTAGGTCACCCGTCGGTTTGGAATCCCGGGACTGAAGAAGGCCATGGAATGGTTTGGCTACTACGGGGGTCCCTGCCGTGCACCTCTGGCCCCATTGAGCCCCCCGCAGGTTGAGGAGCTGAGGGGTGCCTTCAGTGCCAACGGCTGGTTGTGAGGGGTCCCCCTCACCCCTCCCTGCACCATGAAGGCACAGGAGCCAGGGACCCCAGGAGGTGGGGATGTGGTGGGGACACTGGGATGAGGCCAGGAAAAGCCACTCATCTCACTCCTTCCTGCTGGATGGGGCTGCCCTGGGCAGAGTGGGTAGAGGGGATACCCAGCACCCCCTGGCCACACTTGCATCCCTGCCAGCCCCCAGGGTCCCACTGTCCCCACCTGGGAAGGATCCCTGCACTGTGAGCTGGGAATAAACCTGCTGCCCCCACTCTGTGTCTGCAGTCCTGCCCATGCAAGCAGTCCCCCACCCGGTCCCTGCTCCCAGCAAAAAGGACATGGCCCAGGCATTTGGCAAAGTGGTTTATTCAGCTGAAGCCTGTGCAGGCAGCAGCACAAGGCAGGGTCATGGCAAGGCACGGGACCAGTGTGGGCAGAGACCGGCAGGGAGGGCACACCCCCTACAGACCACCACCAGACTGTGAAGGCTGCCAGGACCCCTGCACCATGACCAGCTAGACCTCACTGGGCATGAAGGTGAACACGCAGGGGGGAGATGAAGAACATGTGCAGGGGGCAAGATGGGGAGCTGTGTGCCCCCTGCCCACCCTGCCTGCCCCTTCGCCATGCCCCTATCCCCCACCCACCCTTCCCAGGCCCCCTGCTCCAGCCCTGGCACTCCATGCAGCCCTGCTCGTGCCCCTTGACCCTGCTCCTTGCTCGCCATTGCTCCTGCCCTCCCCCAGCGTGAAGCAGATTGGGCCAGGCTGGGTGTCCCTCAGTCCCCCTCAGTGAGGATGCTGCTGCAGATGTCCCCAAGGCAGTGGATGGGCTGGATTGGCACAGGAATGAGGACAACACAGCCCATCAGCTGGCCCTGAGAGCAGGCTGGGTCCTTCAGTGGCACCATGTCACCCTGCTAGGGGCACGCAGGGGATAGCTGGTCACTCAGAGCTATAGGCGGAGGCCACAGGCTGCCAGAGGTGCCCACCCTGCCTCGGGACCAGGGTAGCAAAGGGAGCCAGGAGTTGCCCCTCTATGGACACATGCTGCAGCCAGCAGCTTCCATCCAGGGCACCCTGGCAGTGAGGTCAGGGCCCAGCCACAGCCCCTACACACCTGCTCCATCTTCTGCAGCAGGCTAGCAGCCCCGGTCGTCCACACCCTTCCTGGGGGACAGAGGGGCCGAGCCCTGGCCACCCTGCCCCCCTGCTGCTCTGGTAGCTGACAGGGCTATAGCCAGAGAGAGAAGGCACCACGGCTGCCCCGGGGCACTTGGGTGGAGAGTGGAGGGCCCCATCCCCCCCAGCTGTGGGGGTTCAGTGGGGGGGGGGGCTTGGTGGTGATGGAGCAGAGGGGCACCCAGCAGTGCCACGTCCCTGCTCTGGGGACTGTGGGGCCAGCCAGCGCCCAGCAGCAGGGTCCGCACTGCAGCAGGGGGGGATGTGGGGCACCGTCATGCTGTCAGGTTGTGGGCAGACTTGGAGGCGCCCTGGGCCCTCTGGATGACAGCCGGGCATTTCTCCCTCCGCAACAGCTTGTTGTTCTCAAAGAAGCCCTCGTTACGCGGCACCCCGTGGGAGCCGTCGGGGAAGGTCAGGAGACCTGGGGAGGGAGGGAAGGGCTTGGAGTGAAGGGGCAGGGAGTAGCACCCTCCAGGACCAGGCTGGAGGGACAAAGTGGGAGATGCTGGACGGGGCTGCGCTGAGCTGGAGCAGCGCAGGGCTGCGGCTGCCTGCATCATGCCACCAGGCACTCACCGAAGCCATACACGCGCCCGCCTTTGAACTCGCCCTCAAAGGTCATGTTGTCACAGCGGGTGAAGACGCCGACGCCATTGAACTTGCCCTGCACAAACTCCCCCTCGTACCTGTGAAGGGGGGAGTTCCTGAGGCAGCAGCTCCCCACAAGCAAGTGGGGATGCCCAGGAGGGGTGTACGCAGGGGTGCCATGCTCACCTGGAACCATCAGAGAAGGTGAGCACACCGCAGCCATGGAAGAGCCCGTTCTCAAAGTGCCCCACATAGGCGGTGCCGTCGGCAAACGTCAGTTGCCCAACACCATGCCTGCGACCTAGGCGAGGGCAGAAACAGGCAGGGCTGGACAGAAGGCAGGGACTGCCCCAGAATGGTGCTCGGCAGGGACGCGGGGGCTGTTTGGCTCCCAGCACAGGCAACACCAACCCCTCCTGCCCCGTCTCACCTTCCTTCCATTCGCCACGGTACTCCTCCCCGTTGGAGTAGGTGAAGGAGCCTTTGGTGAGGGTCATGGTGACTGTCTCCAGCGGCACAGTGCAAGAGCTGACAGGGAGAGGTGCAGAGGGTGGCTGCTGGGAGAGGGGAGCAGCCGGGCTCACCCAAAGTCCCCGCATCCCCTCAGCTCTCAGAGAGGCACGTGTCTGCCCTAGGGACAGCTCTGCTGTGGTACACTGCAGTTGAGGTGACCTCAGGAGCACAGCCACCCTGCCTTGCCTCTGAAACCCCAGCCGCCGGGTTTGGGTTGCTGCCCGCCCCACTGCAGGGCTCAGGGCGATATGAGCCCATGGGGGTCACAGCCCCGTGAAACGTGAGCGAGCAACAGGCGGAGGAGCACGGCAGGAGCTGGCTGCCTCCAGCATGGCTCCCTGGCAGGACCCGAGGGGCCCTGCACCTCAGCAGGCTCAGAGCAGGGGATGCCCTCCGCTCTGTTGGGGCAGTCCCAGGACGAAATGGGCATTCTGGAGAGGAGAGATGCTTGCCGGGTTGTGCTGGCTCTTCAGCAGAGGGAGCAGATTGCTTGTGGGGTTTGCAGCTCCAGCATCAAGGATGAGCAGGCCTGGCTCACCCCCCAGGGATGGAGTGGCTCCTCCTCCTAAGAGGGACAGCAGGAAGAGGGCCCTGGTCTGGCTCCAAGGGTTGGCAATGCTGTCTGCTGACAGCCAGCAGCCCTCGGAGCACTGCACACTCCCAAAGCTGCCACCACGCAGCACAGCTCTCCCCAGCACACAGGGAAGGCATCAGCATGGAGACAGCCCCACAGGCGGGCTGGGCGCTGCCTCTCCAGCAGCTCCCGGTGCAGCTCAGGCAGTGCCTGTGATGGGAGGGGGATCCCCGCTTCCAAAGGAGGTGTCCCCGCTCACACCGGGCTGTGCGTCCCTGGAGAGATGGGTGCTGAGCCACGCTACCCAGGACACAGTGCCCAGGCGCTCATCAGCAGGGAACTTGCAAGGGCTTTGTGTCCACAGGAGAAATGGCCCCCAGCCAAGCCGAGCAGCGACTGAATACTGCTCTCTGCTGATGGCAGCGACCAGGAGCTCAGCGCCGACTCCCCAGCCTGCAGCCTGCCCAGCACCTCTGGGGACACCAGTGCCCGGAGGAGAGGGTGCTGCTGCAGGCTGTTAAATCCAGCTGCAGGGAAGGGCTCCCTCCACCAGCATGGCCTGTGCCTGAACCTGCAACTTCAACCAGGGGACGAGCAGCATTTGCCTGTGAGCAACCCGGCCTGCCCAGCAGCTGGACGTCCCCCCAGTGGCACCCACACACCCCAGAGCCCTGCACGCACAGCGCCCACAGCAAACAGGGGCCGTGCACGCAGCACACCCTGAGCTGTGCATGCCTCCACTCTGAGCCCACCACCTGCCCGGGCCCCGCGCACCCACGAGCTGGAGCAGCGCAGGGCTGCGGCTGCCTGCATCATGCCACCAGGCACTCACCGAAGCCATACACGCGCCCGCCTTTGAACTCGCCCTCAAAGGTCATGTTGTCACAGCGGGTGAAGACGCCGACGCCATTGAACTTGCCCTGCACAAACTCCCCCTCGTACCTGTGAAGGGGGGAGTTCCTGAGGCAGCAGCTCCCCACAAGCAAGTGGGGATGCCCAGGAGGGGTGTACGCAGGGGTGCCATGCTCACCTGGAACCATCAGAGAAGGTGAGCACACCGCAGCCATGGAAGAGCCCGTTCTCAAAGTGCCCCACATAGGCGGTGCCGTCGGCAAACGTCAGTTGCCCAACACCATGCCTGCGACCTAGGCGAGGGCAGAAACAGGCAGGGCTGGACAGAAGGCAGGGACTGCCCCAGAATGGTGCTCGGCAGGGACGCGGGGGCTGTTTGGCTCCCAGCACAGGCAACACCAACCCCTCCTGCCCCGTCTCACCTTCCTTCCATTCGCCACGGTACTCCTCCCCGTTGGAGTAGGTGAAGGAGCCTTTGGTGAGGGTCATGGTGACTGTCTCCAGCGGCACAGTGCAAGAGCTGACAGGGAGAGGTGCAGAGGGTGGCTGCTGGGAGGGGGGAGCAGCCGGGCTCACCCAAAGTCCCCGCATCCCCTCAGCTCTCAGAGAGGCACGTGTCTGCCCTAGGGACAGCTCTGCTGTGGTACACTGCAGTTGAGGTGACCTCAGGAGCACAGCCACCCTGCCTTGCCTCTGAAACCCCAGCCGTCGGGTTTGGGTTGCTGCCCGCCCCACTGCAGGGCTCAGGGCGATATGAGCCCATGGGGGTCACAGCCCCGTGAAACGTGAGCGAGCAACAGGCGGAGGAGCACGGCAGGAGCTGGCTGCCTCCAGCATGGCTCCCTGGCAGGACCCGAGGGGCCCTGCACCTCAGCAGGCTCAGAGCAGGGGATGCCCTCCGCTCTGTTGGGGCAGTCCCAGGACGAAATGGGCATTCTGGAGAGGAGAGATGCTTGCCGGGTTGTGCTGGCTCTTCAGCAGAGGGAGCAGATTGCTTGTG